CCCCCCCCTTCCCCGGCCGTTTCTCTTCTTCCTCCTGTTCATCCCCGTTGCCGTCTTTACCGATAATTATTACCTACCGGAACGATCTTCGAATCTTGGGCGGTCATCAAAGTTTTGCCCGCGGCCCGATTGCTATTTAAACTCAATACACAAATTTTGCATACTCAGTGTGCAAAATTTGTTATTTTCAAGAAGGAAAGATAAGAAAAGCAGCAAATGTTTCGTTCTTTTTTCAAAAATGGGGAAAGGGTGTTAAAGAAGTGAATTGCTTTGGGATTTTGGCACAAAGATGTAGCTATTGTAAAGATAGACAAAAGATGATGAATTGCGTTAATACAATCTTTTTCGTGTCGATGTGTATTTTTTGTTCTTTTTCGAAATTTGATTTATGACCGAGAAAATAGGCACATATGTAGAAAATTTGCTATCGTTTCTATCCCCACCTTACGAAGAAAGCATATTTAAACCCTCTTCGCTTCGCGAAGGAAGTTTTCTTGCTCGGCGGTATACAGTAAAGACACGTTCAGCAATCACAGTGATTATTTGAGAACTCGGACAACAGTTTCGCGTACAATCTTTCGCTTATCAGTTATCTTCGTATCTGAAAATGTGCAATAAAAGATAAACGGTATCTCTCTCTCTCTCTCTCTCCGGCATTTGACAGCAAGGTCCGATAGTGTTAAAAAAATAATCAACGAGATCCCTCATCACAACGAGCCGGCAAGAAGGAGCCCTTTCGAGTAAACCTAGTAGAATTTCGGGAGTAACTTCGACCCCATTACAGCAGTAACAGATTGATCGCACGCATACGTACCCCATTTGCGCAATCTGAGGCTGACCTTGACCCATCGATCCTGGATCAAAGAGATTCTGCGATATACGATCGCACATGCTCGATAAATCGAATCGACTTAAGAGTTGGCTATCGAGATTTCTACCATTGTGTTGAAGAGAGAGAGAGAGAGAGAGAGAGAGAGAGAAGTAAACTTAGTGACTCAGAGACCTACACGGACCAGTGTCGTCGAGAGCTTCCCCTTGGAACAGTCATAGGACAAGACCGATGTTACTGAGGATTTCCCAAGTTAATTTCATATCGTTAGAGTATGTTCAAATTTTCTTAGAGTAAGTAATTTGTTTCGAACTGTTCAAACTTATTTCTAGAATAATTTGTGATCGATTTTGTATTCTCATCAATGTTTTAGTTAATAATTGCAAATAAATTATTTTTGAATTAAAATTGATAATAATAAATTAAATTTCGTAATAATAAAAAATTATTGTATGTGCTTAGTGTGATAGCGTGAATTACAACGCAGTTAGAAAAATTTACCGAGTGAAAGCAGAAAACTCTCTATTGCACTCGACAATTCACCGCATATTCACAGTTTCCTTTGGTATACGCATGTGTGACTTTTTCCACATGTGTACGAGATCTGTGCATAACTTGTTCATATGGTGAAAAGAGAAAGTGGAATTGTGTGTGTCACGTGCTTTTCCCTTTACGTCTCGAAAATAACTTATTTTATTAAATTTTAAAATTAAAACTCCTAAAACGCGATGCTTTATAAACGGGTTTTAAAATTTCAAATATATTTTTTTCTTCAATCTATAATTTGAAACATAAAACGAAAGTGTAATTTATGCTATGACTTAAGCAAGAAAAAAGTGAAACGTGAATAATCGTATTTTAAAATCATGATGTTTCCACGTATATATATAACATGTCTCGGAAAAGATCGGATATCTTTTTAAGCTCGCTATTCTGTATACGGCTACCAATAGCTATAAATTCTGTAAATATTTTCCATTAAACGTATCAAAAAATATGATGACATTTATAGAGCCTACAGCTATCGATAACCGTCTATAGAATAGCGCCCAAAATTCTTTAAACAATTTATAATCGATCTTTGTTTAACAAAAATTGAAGTTCGCAAAATTAGATTTTCTGTTCATTTCTGGCAGAGATAGACAAAATTTTATTCGAACAATAGATAATGAATAATAGAGACAAAATATAATTTATTTGTAATGAGGAGCAAATCAATTAATATGAGTAATATATAGTACAAATAATAGATACAATTTTAATCGAATCATGAACTAGATAAAAATGTTTTCGAATAATGTCCATCTCTAATTTCTGGTAATAATGCGCTTGTACAAAATCTGATAAATCTCATAATTTCTTCTAAAATCAATCATTCGTTTTAGACGAACAACTAATAAATATTTAAATTATCAGCTAAAATCGATGTTTTTTTGTTATTGTTTTAGAATTGTCTCAGAAGTTCAATTTATCAACACATTTCTAATGATCTTAAAGCTATTATAACCGCGTTTCGAAGAGAAACGATAATATAGGGTATACATTCTATGGTAGGGTAAAATATTCTGGGACAGTGAATTAAAGATCCAATTTTTTTAATCTCATAAATCTCACAATTTCAACATTCAATAAAGGTAAGTAGCTCCATATCAAGTATTTAATATTTTTCGCATTCTGTTATTTGCTATATGATCTGTTTTAATTTAAGTATATTTTCTAATTTAAAATTATGTTTAATATTTAGAGATGTGTAAATTTTTAAATATGTATTCATTGATATAAAAAAACTATCTTTTATAATATTTAATTTATCATTATTCTGACCTCTCTTCTACGGTTATAATTGTCTACTCTTTATTATTAGTGTCTTTTATTCACAGGTATTTAATAAAATGTATCCAAGAGCCACACAGTCGAACGGGATTCCAGGATCATCCACATTTCTTAATCTAACATCAACGATGCCGATATATCATCAGCCGCATCTCGCGTCGGTGAACTATGGCAATATAGAAATGTATTCTACGGGACAAATATGCAATCCAACAGATCTCAGCAATTTAAACAATTCTTTCTTCCAAATAAGCAATAATTCTAATTCTGCCGATTGTAACTGTATAAATAGAGTACAGTCTAGTGCATCATGGACAAGGCAAGGCGACCAGGCGTCTGAACCAAAGCCTTTAGTTTCCTATTATCCAAATCTGTCAATATCAGAAAAATCGATGAATTCTTACGAGATCATGTCAGAAAACGGCACCGATTATTCAGAATATATACCATCTCTACCACTAACCATAAACGAATCCGAGAGGGAAAACATGTATCAGTGCTTTGACAATAAGTTGAACGCGGTTAACAACATTGATGACATCAATCATTGCAAGCATTATATGTATCAAAAAAACCAATTTAGTGAGATGTTGCCTTTAAAGGAGACACCGACGCCTAGTATAACATTGGCATATGGTCATGAAGACAATCAGATTGCATCTAAACCAAACCTTTCGTTTTCAAGAAATTATTATTCGAATTTGTCATCGAGTTTGTCACAGAAAACGACAAATTCTTACGAGATTGCGTCAGGAAGCATCAATCAACAGTTTACAGTACCTCTGGATTATCTACTACCAACCGTAAACGGGCCCATTGAATCCGAAAAGGAAAACAAAATATATTACGATCCATCGAAAACGGATATCGATTCCGAATATCTCTTTGACTCTAATAATTCCAACACAAGCATGTGTCATATATGTTTCAAGACATACAGTAAGACGTCGCATCTAAAGACGCACTTAAGGGTACACACCGGCGAACGACCGTACTCTTGCGATTGGCAAAATTGCGGCAAGAGCTTCACGCGAAGCGATGAGCTGCGGCGTCATATGCGCACGCATACCGGCGAGAAGACGCACATCTGCCATATATGTGAAAAGAAGTTTACGAGAAGTGATCATCTCAAGAAGCACATTAAGACGCACGAGAGGGAGGGGGAGTACCAAGACGAGACTGGAAAGGATACGAACGAAAAGCATAACGTGTCTGTAAATTTTTCCACGGATATTTCGTTCTTTTGCTAATTTGTGAGGCGTACTATCGAAAATTTTCGCGATCTAATATTAATTGATCATCGAATAACAGATTACATGATCTCCAATTTATTTGTAAATATATTATGATTAAAAAGATAAAGACTAATGCAATGTAGTAAGAAATAGCTTTAAAATAAAAAAACCCAATATCTACAAACGATTTTTTGTTGTACTACTATTTTTCTAACAAAAAAATATTAAATTAATATGTGTGTGTGTATCTTCCAGGTTAAGATAATTTTGCTAATCGATATATTAATTTTGCTAGACAATATATTGTTTATTCTTTTTGTTTTTATTCCTCTCTCTCTCTCTCTCTCTCTCTCTCTCTGTGTGTTTTCGTTTCTAATAAAACAGATTAAGTAAAGATTAAATATCGGTAAAAATCAAAAATAAATATATAAAAAACTATGTATATTTTATGAATAAGAATATTAGAGAAAGGTAAAATTAGATTAAGAGATAGATTAATCCCCCTTTATAACGTTTATAACATTTTAAATTTGTGTTTGATCAATTCACTCTTTACATAAGTTGATTATATTATTAAACCTTTTTATTAATATTATACATATGGAATAATTGATCGAACAGTACAATATTCATAATCATGATATAGTTCTATTAATCGATTTTGATTATATCAAGCAGTAAATCAATTCAATATTCTGGATTTTCTTATTGATATTGTATTAGATATTAGGCTGATAAAAACAGATTTATCGCTATATTTATTAGTCCAGTTTCCTTTGAAAAAAATATAATTCCTTTTGAGGATGCGGCAATATTAAAATAGAGCGATTAAGCTACGTGTTAATTAAAATAATTTATGGACGAGGAACAATAGCTCCCCTGCTAGTGGCCGATCTAATAAAAACAGATAACGCACTTTTAAGTGTAAACGCGCTTTACAGACTTTATATCAATTTCATGGCGAAATTTATATGGCGAGATATACGTCAGACAATATACTGCATAGCGGTAGGCGAAGAAATTAATAAATATTATTGACAGTATATGTTAAATATTACATTAAAACAAAATCGATTCTTTAAAAAATGGCGTTTTCTAAACCAGGTTATTAAGTAGACGAATCAGCTATGTTAGTTATTAAAAGTTAATAAAAAAATAAAAAATAAAAAATCTGATACTTTTCGAGATTCATGAATTTGACACTGCGTACATAAAGCATTTCTATCCTTTTAAAATATAAAATTAATAATTAATTTGTGAGTTAAAGTAAAGAATATAATTTAGTCTTAAAATAGTAAATATTATCTTATATGGAACTAACTTAAAACAGAAGTAATCTTCGAATATTATAATGTGTGTGTGAGTGTGTGTGACGTTGAATTTAAAAGACGTTTACAATTTTCTAAAGGAAATTGTTTTTCATAAATTACAATTAAAAATAAAATATGATTTGTCAAAGATTAACAATCGTTATCGATTTATTGTTTCTGTCACGCACAATTATCATTTTAATATATGTTTAATGAAATATATTTTCTACTCTGTTTCAGAGACATATTCAAGAACAAAATGTAATGAAAATACGAAAAAATGTATCGTATATTTCAATTACATCAACCATGAAGAATGTATGTTTGTCAGTCCGCAATTTATCAAGATACCGGGAGGAGAAAAAAGCGATTAAACGTACGTAATTTTTAGATATATTATTTGAGGATTATATGTTAAAAAAATTATTTACATCATAAGAGAGAGTTTTCTCTTACTACACGCGTAGTTTACTTAGCCCTTCGATCAATCTGACATCTTTTCATTTTGCACGCCCCAAACTTCAAAAGAGGCTATTTTCAATGATCTTATAGGCAAGGCGCTTGATATTACGGAGCGAGAAAGAGGGGTCGTACCGTAAAAAATTCATATAATAACGAATCGTTCTCCCGTCGTATATCGGATTCTCTCTTGACATCTTCCTGTCATTCGACACGCCGCCGGCCCTTCGTCCCGCCCAAGCGAAGGGATCAACCGAAAAGGTAAGCGCTCTAGAAACATCTTTCCTTCTACACGCCGTCTGGCAGGTGTTTCGACTGCGATCGCAGATAGAAAAGCGTTTCGCGTGTCGAGGTGCTGCTGTTAAAATCTCGAGCGACTTGTACCCCAGGGTGAAGCGAAGATACACAAGGAGATATTAGCATTATCGTGAGCTCTCCTTTGAATTTCCCCTCTTTCCCCGCAACACAAATGTTTTCAGAATAATTATTTCGGAGACATATAATTTTTGATAAAATTTTCATCGACGGAATAATTATTTTAAATTTTTCTCACATTTTTCGAAGAAAATCGTAAGGGATGCAACTCCTCTACGTCATGTATGAGTCTTGTTTGCTCAGGGTGACAATGCGGTCGTGTGACAGCATTGTACACGATGTGTCTTTTTCGACCTGCTGTCGGTAGATGGAAGCACGATGAATGGAAGAGGTCGACGTAGCGCTATTAAGGGGGCGGCGCACCGTGCAGCCCCCCTTGGCCCCTCGATCTGATCGAGGATTCATGGCTGGCACCAAGAGGAAGAGGTGCACACAGGCAAACAGAGGTAGAGAGGCAGTGACGGTGACGGTGGCGGTAGCGGAGGCAGAGACAGAGAGAACAAGAGAGACATCGCCGAGGATGAACGAGGTGGACGAGGAGGGCGGTCGAAAGGGGACGCGAAGGGTAGCAGCGGCAGTAGAGTCGCGGGGTAGAGAGGAGATACGAAAATGGAGTAAAGGAAAAAAAGAACGAGCTACCCGGCTGCCGGGCAAATTATAGGGAAAATCGGGGTGGGACGTGCGGCGCGGTGCGGCGCCGCACCGCGCCGCGTTGCGGAGAGGAGGAGGCAGCCCCGTAGTAGTGGCTTCGAAGGAGAACGACGACGAGGTGGAGAAGAAGAGAGAATGGAGGGGTCGGAAAGGGAGGTGGGGTGGCGCCACGGCAATTCCGGACTCGCGTTCAACGTTCCCTGCGGAGTTAGCGAGGATACCCGCGCGAGGAGCCAGCGCGCAAGCAGATTCAAAGAGGGCCCTGTCGCGCGAGTGGCGAATCTCTTCTTTTCCCCTCGGTCGTCTTTCGCGCCGCGGTAATTGACGCAAAAGTGACAAGGAGAGCGAGAGGGAGAGAAAGAGAGAAAAAGAGAGAGAGAGAGAGAGAGATAGGGGGAGAGATAGTGCACGGAGGGCGAGACGCGGGAGGAAAGACGCGGTGCGCGCGGAGAGCGAGAAAGACAGAAGGAGGGGGTAGACACACAAGTACAGTACACGCACCTCTCTCTTACGTGTTACGTGCGGTCAGTGCGAGAGGCTGCGACGTGCCGCGAGCATGCGTTTGCGACGAACGGCCCTTAAGGCGAACGAGCAGCACGCCGACTCGCCTTCGTCGCGGTTGTCGCCATCATCGTCGTCGTTCTCGTCGTCCTTGTCACCGTCGCCGCCGTCGCCGTCGTCGTCGCCTTAATCGCTCGCGCATCGTCCGCGAATGCTCCTCTTGATTAGGGAACCCAGGTAGTATCTTATCCACGGAAAAGAGAGCCCTTTCGTGATTACGTATTAAAAAAAAAAAATAAGGATACCGTGTCACCTGTCACGATATAGTGTCCGTGAAAATTGACGTTCGCGCTTGTCACATTGGAGCGGATCTCAGTGGACATGAAGCCCGATGAAAAGGGGTGCCGCGCGTCGACGCTCTGTGCCCCGGCAAGCGTCGCGGGTACTACTTGTGCGAGTATTTCACGAGTGTCATTCACCCAGTGCGCTTGTCCTGACGAATACAGCCAATTGCTCGAGAAGAGGCTATCCCGCACGTAACGTTGACGTGTAGCGTAATTGAATTTCTTTTACAATCGAAAGATTTTTTTACTCTTGACGCGCGCTCACTCTTTCTCTCTCTCTCTCTCTCTCTCGTGAGACCATATATCGCGCGCGAGAGAAGATCCGTCTCGGAGGGACGTCCAAACTCCGATCGTCGAGATCACTCGAGAGATGGAGTCGTGATCGAGAGGCACGCACGACGTCCATCCGGCACCGAAGAGATCGGGCCGCTCTCGCGTCCCCTAGTCCTTGACGTGAATTCGCGCGTTTTCAGGATCGCTCGAGCGGTTCCACCGATCCGACGTGGGACCGGCTCCGCGTGTCCGGCATTCGTCCGCATCGCAGCGTTTAGGCGAATCGGCAAACTGGACGCGGAGGTCAGCGGCGGCGGCGGCAGTGGTGGCCGCAGGGGTGTCAGCCCGACACCCCTCAGCAGTATAAATGTGAGTCTCAGTCTCGTTCTCTGATCATACACGGGAATCCCGTTTTCTCTCCAATTTCGTCGCGTTAACACGAATTTTATGGCGTTTTCTTTCCATCAATCCTAACGTCTAACACCTCTGCCCTAATTTCATTTATAGAATAATTATTACATATAATATATATTTTACTTTTAATAAATATATTCTACCTACGTCCTTCTCGTCGCATTTACAATCATATTTCCGCAAATGATGATATCATTTTAATTTGCACGGCTATAAGTATTATATATGCGTTTTTAACGACCGTTTTAAAATAACATTCCGCTTTTACAAGAACTTAGTCATTTATTTATATAGCGTAATCTTAAGTTAACGAGAAGCCCACGAGATATCGTGTTTCGTCGTGATTTTACGAGAATTTTGCAATTATCTTTAGAACCGTTTTAATTCCCCGAGAATTCCGCGATTCCGCGTTTAATCTCGTTTCGACACGACCATCATGATATTACGAGAATCTAACGAGCGTCTTAAAATGAAACTTTGAATTTAGCGGCGCGGAGATTATATTCCGAATTCTGCGATCTCTTTTATATATTTTCCGCCTAACTAAACGAAAATTCCACAAAACTACTTTTATCCCGATGTGAGCTTTATGAGGCTTGAAATAAAATCTTCGCCGCCGCCTTTCATTGTTTCCTTACTTTGTGGGAATCTCACCAATGATCTCTCTCCATCCCGTTACGACTTCCTAAGATTGTTTTCCAACCTTATTTCCTCTCAAGTGAGAGAATTCGTCATTCATAAGGTGGAATATAACCAAATCGCAAATTGATAGCCGCCATCCTCGTTTCCGTCCAATTTAGCTCGCATGTACTTAATTGCGTTAAATGATTTTCGAAGGTATGATAGGTCGATGCACTCCCACCACACGAGAGCGTGCATATAATTGGTAGCCCTTCTACATATATACGTAAAAGATGCACGACGTGTGTCGTGAGAAATTAATGCCGGCGTCCGCGGTCGCGTCGC